GCATGCTCAGTATCATCAGTCATCAGGAAATACAAATCAAAACCATGTTAAGATGCTATTTTACATCCTCTAGGTTGACTCTAATAAAAGGAACTGACAATAACAATTGCTGATGACTGGAACTTTCATACTTTATTGGTGGGAGTGTAAACAGTATAATTGGGAAATAGTCTGGCAGATTCTCAACATGTTAAAGTGTTACCACATAACTAGCAATTTCACTCCTAGGTTGACATCCAAGAGAAATGAAAACATGTCCACACAAAAGCTTTTGTTATACGGATGTTCAAAATCACATTATTTATAATAACCAAAAATAGAATCAACATAATGTCGATTTACCAATAAATGGATAGAGAAATATTATTTGGTAATAAAGAGAAATGAAATACTGTATCATTGCTATATGTAACTTGAAGGATTAAGCTAAATGAAAGTTGTCAAAAAGAACCACAGATTATATGAGTCTATTTAGGATAATTTCATAGATGTAGCTAATGATAGGTGTTCGTCCAGGATTGGAGTAATGGGGAAGAGAGAAATGATTGCTAATGGGTGTCAGGTTTCCTTTTGGGGTGATGGAAATATTCTTACTTGGGTTGTAATGATGGTTGTACAACTCTGTGTATGTACAAGACGCCCAGTCTGGCACTCTCTGCCTGCAGCTGCCTGAGTAATGTAAGGAAGAGCAGTAGAGGAACTGGCCAAGAGCCCCAGGCAGCCCACACAATACATAATTAAATGGTGGTTTTGGAGTAGCTTGTTCTAAAGCAAAAGATAATTGGAACAAGCAGTAGTCAGGCAACTTCTTTCTTTACTGCTGTGACTACATATTACTATGAAGATCAAATCCCATAAAAGATTTGTCTTTAAAGAGAGACCTAGATGGGAACATTGTTGTTTCAAGGGGAAATGAAGTGAGGAAGAGTTCAGGGTGTGGGGCACGTTTTAAATAGCAGGCTGAACCACATCCAGGCAGGTTTCCAATTGGTCTCTTTTCCAACGTTCACACTGGATGAAATAGCAAACTAGCCACTGGTCCAGAAAACCCCATGCTACTCACCAGGAGTTTTCTGGTTACAAGACTTGACACAAACTAGCCCCCAACTTGTCCCCACCACAGCCTGTGAGGCAAGCTGCTAAGCAAGAAGGGGACTACTGAGAATTGGGACTCTGTTTGTACCTTAAATGGAGTCATTTTAAACAATGTCTTAAATAACAATGTATAGCAGGGGTGAGCATACAAATGAGTTTCATTTATTGATTCAGCAAACGTTTTTTGAGGACCTATTGTATTAGGAAATGACTGTGAGACACATAGATAGGACCTGGTTTTAGAAAATGTATTGATGGCCCTCCCAGGTGGTGCAGCAGGTTAAAGCGCAGCACTGCAAGCGAGCAGCAGCCACTTCAGTGCGATTTCAATCTCCTGTCCCAGGGGTGACCCACATGGCACAGCAGAGCTCTCCTGCCCCGCCTGCTGCTCCCCTCAGCAGTGTGCTTTGTCGATCTGCCTTCTCTGCCCCCAACTCTGTCTCTGGTGAATCTTCTCACGTCCCCTGCACCTCTTGCCTGTACCATAGTTCTGTATACATAAATAAATAAATCTTTAAAAATAAAAATAAAACATTGGTAAAAAAGCAGGTGATTGTGTAGGACCCTAAAAGGGGCCTTGTAGGGGAGCCCTGAAGAATGACACATGGTCTAGATTTGTGGGCTCGACTAAGACTTCGTAAATAAAGCAATGTCTACATTTGGAAAACTGAGGAGGCAGATTTTCCTCTTTTGCGCCACAACATGGAGACATGGGGAGATTCCCTATTTGGTCATGTGCTTGGACCCTTCACCATGCAGACTCCCAGATCTAACACTATGTGGCTTTCTTCCATATAGTTTATTTCGACAGCCTTCCAAGATTCATTCACAGCTCCGGTAGGTCTTGTCTCTGTTGGTGGGGAGACATATGTTTGCCACTGTCCATTCTATGAAGGTATTTCCATGATCAATTCCTATAAAACAAATGAAATAGGCAAAACAAAGTCAAAAACAAATCATCCCAGAATTTAGTCATTTATAACAACAGTGATATATCATTTTTCCTGTTTCCACAAGTTATGTGGTAGTTCCTTTCCTAGCTTCAACTGGGCTCATTCTTAAGAGTTTGTTTAATACTCTTGTGCTGGAGCACCCAGGCTGACTCATTTGTATCTGAGAGAGGGTACTGGCTGTTGCCTGAGGTGGTACTGACATGTCCTGAGCATGTCCGTCCCCATTCCAGGGAATGGGGATAGAAGTATCAGCCTTGGAGGTCAGTTATGCCACTTCTGGTTCCTTTGCTTGATCAATGCAAGTTACATAGCCAGACAGGGGAAATAAACTCAACCTCTTGACAAGAGAGGCAGTGAAGTCATTGGAAAGAAGCATGAGAGCTGCTGTTGTGTCTGTCTCTGTGCGTAATCAGTAGAATGTCTGGAATGTCTGTGTTGTTGTAAATATGACAGTTGTCCTCTCCACCTTCTGGAAGACCCTGGTCATTATTATATTAAATACAATTCTTATTGTCTGTTACAACTCAGCTGTTACTAACCCTGAAAAAACAGCCAAGCAGTTGTTTTAAAGATGGATTAAAGTACAGAAGAGGACTGCCTTGAGGAGCAGTGTAAAGGAGATTTAAAAATGATTTCTATTGTGTGCACAATAAGAAAGCTACTTGTGGTTCAAATAACTTTCATAAATACCTTTAATATAAAAGCATATATACTTAAATGTTCACAGATTTTTCCCTCTAAAGATTTTTGATGATGGCAACAATTCAGTAAGAAAGTAGAATAGATATTAATCTTCCTTATTTGACAAGTGTTCAGGGACACTGCAGCAGTGAAGAATGATGTGATTTATCTGGGACAGGAGCTGTATCTGCCCACTTCCCAATCCATGCCCATTCTATGGCTTCCAAATATTGGGACTCTTGAGAATTCTGTTGGGGGGAGAGGGGACACAAAAGAGTCTCTCCATAGTCATCAGTTTGTAGCTATTAGATATACATTCTCCTGTCATGAGGCGGGGGCTGATTAGTTTAGCATAGCACTTTGTACACACACTGTCTTTAAAAAACTGTTTCAGCCATACGCCCATCGGGTCCTCAAACAGCTGGGTGAAGCTGTCATTATAATGGAGAAAAGAGAGACTAGAAGGAGGACAGGTGACTTGTCCAAGTAAACATGGTCTCCAGGGAAGCTGGTCCAGTTCTCCTATAGGAAGGAGGATGAGGCTCTAAGGCTGAAGTGAAGTCATATGAGTAGACATTCAAGGACATAGGTTCAGTTACCCCCACATGAAATGATTTATAAACATGTGTAAAGTGCTTGTTAGTATCTCCTTGACCTAGAGCCAGCCTTCTCCCCAAAGTATTCAGTGTTGTAAATTAATTATCTTTATTTGGATGAGAATTAACATTTTTTCATAGCGATGAAGGGGGTGTTGGATCATATGAGCCCTAAGGCACTTCCTGCTCTAGAGTGACAGTCCAATTTGGATTGTATATGATTGTGTAAGAAGAAAAAAGAGAAATAAACTTCCATGTAGAAGATAAGAATTTACCAGAATACTTTTAAAGAGGTGATGACACAATGACTGTGGATCTGTTTTTCACTGAACAAACTGACCAAAGTCTTATCGATAACATGAATTCTGTAGTATTGGCACTAATGATTGAATAGGGGAGGTAGTCTTTAATCTGACGATCACAAAAACTGTATTAAAAAATTGACAGTACTGGAATCCTGTTGCATCTCAAGGGGTTCAAGCCTTTCAAGTCCAGGGAAATGAAAAGGATGAAATTCCAGCTCAAATGTAACTGAGAAAGAGCAGCAGACAGACAGGAGGAATCCGGTGCAGGATGATGTTCCTGTAGCTCAGGGAAGTGACCGATAACATCTCATGTTATGAATGTCTCTTAACATGAGGACTTGCCAATTGCCTGTCATAGGTAGCTATGTGGGGGATCACTTAAGTTTGACCCTCGGGAAATTATTTCAGAAGCATGGGGAGGCTAGAAGCCGGAGAATTAAAGAATTGAAGGATGCTAGGGAAGGTAGATGTGAGAAACAAACCCTATGGAGGTAGGGGAATTGGAAAGGAGTGACTTAGTTGTCTTAGTCAAAATGCTTTAGAAATATCATAAACTGGATGACAGAAAACAATAAACCGTGGTCTTTTCAGTCTGGAGACTGGGAAGTTCAAGATCCAGGCAAGGGAAGATCTGGTATCCGGTGAAGGATCACTCCTCGCTTTCAGGGTCTTCCTATTTGATCATCAGAGAGAGAAAGAGAAAACGAAGTCTCTGATCAGTCCTTTTTGTTGTTCTTGAAGGGCTGTAACTTCACTTGGGGGAATTACCTTATCTCCACATACCACAGTGTTGGGGATTAGCGTTTCCATCTGAGGAATTGCAGCCTTTCCACAAGGATAGCAAAATGGAATAATGGCTTCAGGAATAAAACCCTAGCCTTTTTAAAAGATAGGGTGGAGTTTGGTCAGGAAACTGCAACTCCTTTTCAAGAGGGCTAAATGGACTACTCTCCACCAGCAGGACAGTTTTGGATTGCAGTTCCAGTTTCTTTCTAATTACTAGGAGAATTTTTTTTTTATTTTATTTTACAAAAGTTTATTTTTACATCATTTTGTACATTTTTTTTCCCATCTCAATTGTAATCCCCAAGGGTTTCCCATCACCAAGTCACCCGTGTGCCATCACCATAATCCCGTGCACTTCCCTCCCCACCCCCCTGTTTTTGATCCCATTCCCCATACCAGGAGAAACTTTTAATGCTCACTTCTGGAACAGATGCCTCTCAGGAATGATGTGGCGTGGCAATCTGGAGCTGCCACATCTATCTAGCAACTTTGCTTTGATTTGAGCCTTCCCCGAAGCCTGGGATGTAGGGTTTCAAGTGAGCAGTTTTCCTTTTGTTTATTTGTCTTCCCTTACCTCCCTCCAGGCTGATGAGCCCTGAAAGCACACTCCTGCAGCCCAGGGAAGAAGAAGGTGTCAAGTACGAGCGCACCTTCATGGCATCTGAGTTCCTGGACTGGCTGGTTCAGGAGGGTGAGGCTACCACGAGGAAAGAGGCAGAGCAGCTGTGCCACCGGCTGATGGAGCACGGCATCATCCAGCATGGTGAGTGCACAGGCCACCTTTTGCTGCCAGAGCAAACTGAGCGCATGACAAAGGCTCCCAGGGACCCTAGATTATTAAAGGGTGCATGCTCCAAATGGATCTGTGAGCACAAAGACAAAGGAAGCTGACTTATGTGAAAGATCTTCAATAGAATGGCACATATCGAAAAAGAAGGCTATTCCTAATAATAATTTTCCAACAAAATCCCCAAATTTCCTAACTCCTCATGGGCAATTGCCCAGCCGAGCTCGTTTGACCAGAAGCAGGGCCACTGAGACTTACATGCTTGCCACAAGTCAAACACACCTGGCAGGGAATCACAGAAGGCGCTTAGATGGGTCAGACTGTGGGATAAAAGGGGAGGTTCAGAATTCAGAATGTACCAAATAACCCTCCATGGAGACAGGACAGCAGCTGCCATGGTGTCTCTCAAGGTCCACGTATCTCTCATCCATTCATCTCTTTCAAGTGTCTACTTCCAAGTCCATGGGTACAAGTCAAAGCCAGAGAAACAAGAGCCCCTGAGCCCACGTGTTCTGTGTTCATATTGTCACCTGCTGCTCAGCTTAGCTCCTGATTCCCAGTAGCTCTCAGTGCCTCATGGGACACTGTGACTGTGGCCCAAGGAGGTGGTGTGTAAGTGGGGGTAGGAAATGGCAGCTGTTCACTGTGCTGTCCCCCTTTTATACATCCTATAACAACCAACCTTCAGATCCCAGGATTTTCAAACCAAACATATTTATTACTCACTCATGGGTCTGGATGTCAACTGTCTCTTCCTGAGTCCAACTTAGCTTGTCTCCAGTTTGGGGGTCAAATTCAACTATGTGTTCCATGACTTCTCAATCAGGGATCTAGACAAAATGAATATCTACTGTCTGGGACATACTGTTTATACAATAAAATGATGAAAGTCGCTAAGAGAGTAGCAGGTTCTTATAGAGTCTCCAATAGCTTCTCCTTGGATGTGATTAACATCACAACTACCAAATCTAAGTGGCTATTATCTGATCAAGTCAAAATGGGCAGTAGATGCCTCTCAGGAGATTGTTTGCTAGGGAAGAATGAAAATTTAGCCAAAGACTTTCACAAAAGTTTCACTTTCCTTTGAGGGCTGATTCATGATTCAGTGTAACTCACTGATTACAAACTATGTTTATTGTCTAATACTGTGTAAGAAATTACCCCCATGCTTAACGCTATTAAGAGTTTCTTATCTCGCATAGTTCCTGTGGGTCAGGAATTTGGAGACTTAGTTGAGTGGGTTTGGCTTCAGGACTCTTAACATTGTAGTCAAGATGGTGATCAGGGCTGTAGCTTGACAGACTGTAGAATTTGCTTCCACGGTGTCTTACCTGTCTGTCTAACAAGTTGATGCTGGCTCTTGTTAAGAAACGTTAGTCCATCTCTCTGTGTACTTCATAAGGCTGCTTGGGAATTTTCTTGACAGGGCAACTTGACTTCTTCTGGAAGGAATAATCAAAGAGAATGCAAGAGAGATAAATGCCTCAACATCTTCTAACTGAATGTGGGAACTCATCCCTGTCCTTTCCTCGATACTCTGTTAGTTACTATAGGGAGCAAGTGTCTGCCACCCAATGTGTCATAGGCAAACAATTGATTTCACAGAAGAGGTTCTGAAGGCTTCCCTCCCTCCTCACCCTCCCACTCCCTTCCTAACCCTCCCCTCCCCCACCTCTGCCTTAGCTAAGCTATGTCAGACGACACCCCATACTACATGGGTGAGTTAGACATGCTCTGTGTCTCTCGTGAGTGTGGGAAATAGACATGTGACTATAGACTTAGCTTTTTTCTCTTACCAGTGACTGTCTGATGCTTGTTGGATTATTTTCCAGCTTAGAAAAACCTAGAAGGATGATTCCCCATGTACCAGTTACCATTTCAGCATTATTCAATGTGAGAAATAGGGCACTACATCAGTGTGAGAACCAGGAGGCAAGGATCACTGACACTACTGCAGGAGGTTATTACAAGAACGTAGGTTCCAGAATCCCATTTCCACCAGTTGTTAGGTCCTTAACTGTTTTCATCAGTAAAAAGGGGATGCCCTCCTAGGGTGGGTATAGGAGGAAATTGGGTCAATATAAAGCTGTTGGTTCAGTGCTTTGCTCTTAATAAGTGCTCAGTCAATTTATTCCTGTAACTACAAGGTATGGATTGGAAACAGTGAAGACAGGCCTGGGACCCTGTTGGGTATTTCAGTCTGAGTCAGCATGAAAGGTAATGCTTGTGTCGTTCTTGCCACGAACTCCCTCTGCCCCTCTTTGAAGTGGGCTCGGGATTTCTATCCCAGAAGTTAGGAAGATTGCAATGGAATTACAGAGATGAAAAAGAACCTTTCAAAATTATTTGGAGCAGTGGTTTATAAACGGCAGATTGCATTACTTACGTGGGCTGTGAAATAAATTTAAATAGTCATTTCAAGAATTTATGAAATATTAAAAAATAGGTTCTTAGCACTCAAAAAGTGGTCCATAGACTCCCAGTGTTATCTGGGAGCATGCTAGAAATTCAGAATCTTTAACCCTACCCCATCCCTGCTGAATCCGATCTACATTTTAACATGATCCCCATTTTAACATGATTTGGATGCACATTAAAATCTGAGAGACACTGGTAGGCTTAAATTTGAATTGAATGTATTAGAGCATATTTTGGAAAAAATTTCAGTTAGGTATATATTGTATAAACATGGACATATTGATGAACATATTGATTTGCTACATTAAAATTGTCACAAAACTGCTCGAAGCTTTTGTGAAAGTGGCATTAAAGGCCATTCAGTATTTTCTGGTTGTTTTCTCTATCATCATCATGATGAAGCTCACAATACGTCATGCATGGCTTAATGCGTCTCCTGTTGGACCCAGTTCTGAGACTGAGAAGGTGGTAAAAACAACAGTGTTACTGAGGCCCCTGGTCTTAAACAACTTTGTGTCTTGTTGGAACTAATGGAACTAATAAGTGGATTCTGAAACAATGAGGGAAGCAGTAGAAGATGGATAGTGTATTTCATTTCTTTCTTTCCTAGAATGTCCCAGATATTGTTCTAATCATTTACAAATAATTTATTAAACCTGTAAAGCAGATATTTTTGTTGTTAAATTTTATTAAATTGTTAAATTTTATCTTATTGTGGGAAAAGCACATAACGTGAGATCAACCTTCTTAACAAATGTTTGCATGGACGATACAGTATTTCTCACTGTAAGGCAGGTATTCTTATTATCTCCATTTTGCAGATAAAGAAACAGGCACCAGTAGGTTAAATGATTTGTCTGAAGTCACCAGGCAGTAATGTCTGAATGGCTATTGCTGCTGATTAGCGTAAAGTCAGACTTGGGTGGAGTGACTGGGGCTTTGCACATCAATAAATACAGTGTATGATTAGACGTAGTCCTGTCTTCTTTGCTGCAGACAGAAAAAGTCAGGCAATACCATGTCCTAGGAAAAAAAAACCAGTCTCAAATTATGATCTACTGTGCACCTCAGCATAGAGAGAAGGCTGAGGCTGCCATGAATTGTTTCCAAATGATTTCCAAAGAGTGAGTAATTATACTTCAATTACAGTATAATTTTGTAGTGCTATAAACATCAGTGCCGTAAAGTCACATCGTAAAGGATAAAACAAGCATTTCTAGTAGCAAATCGCAGCTGCTGAAGTGTACTTTCCCTGGTGGTGGGAGGACTGAATATTCTCTGTATAGAGTGGGGGTGCTGGGTTTCCCCAGCGGCACAGAGGTTCAAATCTCAGCACCATCAAGCTGTTGCCAGCCACTGTAGTAGGAGCTTAATCCCTGGCCAGGGAGCTGACCCACATGGCACAGCAGACCTCTCCTGTGTCAGTGCTCCCCTCAGCAGTGGATTTCAGTAGCTCCACCTGTTCTACTCCCCACTCTCTCTCTGGTGAGTCCTCTCACCCCCCCCCCATACTTCTGGCCTACACCCCAGTTCTTGCATTCATGCATAAATTTAAAAAATCTTAACAAAAGAGTGGGGAATCCAAGAGGGCCCCAGTTGCCCAGCTCATTGGTACTTCACACATGTTGCCCTTGAGTGTAGGCAATGTGGCCACATGTGTGTTAGAGCTGATGATAAACACCAGTTAGTGTCTCCAGCAATGCTGCAGATTGTCCAGGTAATTCCCTGGTTTGAACATGAAAGAAAATTAGCTTTTAGATTTCTTACCAGTTTCTTGATAAAGATGGGTTCCTAAATGGAAAGCAGCTATCTTATTAATCCTCTCTAGCATCATTTTGAATAGTGAATGATGCTCTGTAATCATGAGAGGAATTGTTAGATAAATAATAAACTTCGACACGTGTTTATGTGTGTGGACTTACATGGATATATTTATATAAATGTTGTGTGATGACCAAGTACGTAAATACATCAACTTTTCATAGATTGGATTAAAGGTTTTATAAGATTTAATATATTTTAGTTTTAATCTGTACATACTCACATACATGAGTTATATATCTCTAATCACATTCATCCTCATGGTCTTTCTAGATGGTATTGGTATTATTTTACAGTGAAGATATTTGAGATTTGAAATCTTTAAGACATTGTCCTTAGCTTGCAATGCTAACTAGTAGTTACTAGGTATTTGTGGAAGTTTTCTTAGGTAGATATATCTGTAGTAGGGTGAGGCTGTCTAGCACAGTGGGATGAACACAGTCCTGGAGGGAGACAAACAGGACTTAACTTTCACTTACTGAGGAAGCCAGTCAACATCTCAGTGCTCCCAACTCTGAGGTTTTCAAATTTATGACATTAGGCCCACACTTTATACCTCTCAAATTGTTTTTCTTTTTTGAGATCCACATGTGCCAAAGGGCTCAACATATAGTTGGACTCATGGCTAAGAGTTCTTGTAATGAAAGTTATAGGAAAAGGAAAGTTTTAGGAAAGGGGGAAGTTCCAGGTTCCCTGCCCCACCCAAAAGGAGGGTGGAGCTGAGCAGAGAAAAGGAG